TTTATATTGTATTTCCATGTCAACAGCTGTGTCCACTGGTCATTTAATAAGTGTAATGCGAGGTCAACTGAAAACTGTACCTAATTTAATTTACATTCATTTTCAGTCTTCTTTTCTATTTTCCAGTTTCCGTGTTTACGTCTAATGATAAAGTATGAACACAAGAGGGCAGTAGAATAATTAGTAACTACTTCATTTTTTGCCATCACAACAAGTGAGTGGCATCCCAATATGTTGTTGGCTTGCTTAAATTCCTGCTTTCATCCAACTAGATGTCTGCAGATTTGTTTAGACAGTGTGAAATATTTTTTACCTTATTAATATTATTTTGTTGGCATCATGTCCTGTATTCTTCTTTTCTGTATTGCAGGATGGCACAGAATCAGTGGTGAAGGATGTCCTCCCCGGAGACAGCGTCCACAGCCTGCTCAGTATTCTGGACACTATCACTGTGAGCTCCTGCTTTTTTCTCTCTAGGTTATGTCCTCATTTGCCTTCTGAAGTGTCTGTGTCAGTGTGATTTGTTTATTCATTACCTTCATGCCCCTGAAACAAAATTAATGTACTTTGTATTTGCTGTAATTTGTTTATTTAAAGCTGCATCTTTTCAACTTTGTTTTTCTCTTCTTAAAATACATCATTGTCATCCTTTTCACACACTCAGATTGATGTTGTTTGGAACTGATTTGTCATCCTTTTCACACACTCAGATTGATGTTGTTTGGAACTGATTGTGCAGTAATGAACTCAAACCACGTATGTAATGTATAGAAAAATCAGTTCTTACAATAGAATAACTTTTTCATATCTTGTTACTTTGTTGCCATTGCATAGAAACCATTTAAACACTATCACACTTGTGTTATAGAGCTTTGAAGTGTTGACAGTTATTTAGGCCACATTAAAATGCTGCAAGCACAGGTACACGTACAGGTCACGTAATAAACCTTGGGGAAAGTATCCTTAGCCCAATTTATTACTTAGAGGACAGTTCCAAATAGATAGCTGTGAAAGATGTGGATGAGATTTCTCTGATTCTTATCTTCGATTTTGCCAGGGTTATCCAGCTCCATATAAAACTGTGTCGTCCTGAGACACTTGTACGCGTCATTCAGGTAACAGATTGCATGATGTAGTGTTTGTTTTTTCTCCAATTAAACATCTAATTTGGATGTAGCTACAACATGATATTTAGTATATTCTGCCAGAGTTTTCTGTGTGTGTTTCCCCCCCTGTTTCAGATAATTATGGTGCTCCTCCAAAGAGTCACCTTTTTGGCTTTGCATAACTATCTGGGCCTAACAACTGAGCTTTTCAATCCAGTAGGAGGAGATTTAATTAGTGCACACCTACAGTATTTATGTGCATACACATTGTCACGATGACTGTGTCACTCGACTTGTTATGTGCTTGTGTATCAACAGGCATAGAAAACACACACACGCGCGCGC